TAAGCAACGGGGTGGCCGGTATACCAACAGAATTCCTAAGCTATCCCTTTTCTAAGCTTTCCTTTTCTCAACCACATTTATGCCTGGCTTTTTCTAATCATTTGTCCCTTTAAATATTAAAATTCACAAATTTTACATCACAATTTAATATATTACTAATAAGAAAATTAAGGTGAACCAGCGTAGTGTAGTGGTTTGAACACTGGACTGTGACTCTGGTGACCAGGGTTTTGAATCCCAGCTTGGCCATGAAAACCCACTGGATGACCTTGGGCAAGTGGCACTCTCTCAGCCTCAGAGGAAGGCAAAGGCAAACCCACCTCTGAACAAATCTTGCCAAGAAAATCTTGTGATGGAGTTCCCCATACGTACAAAGCAACGTGAAGTCACACAACAACAATTACTAAATCAATAAATTTCTGTCATCATCATCATCACCATCACAACTTACATCCAGTGCCATCTAGTGATTAGCATATAAGGACAACAGAAATATGCCTTTATGGGCTAAATAGCAAGAACATCGGAAGTCTGATTTGATTAGTTTGATGCCCCAACACCTAATATACTCTTCTCGGTGGCTGCTCCCAAGCTCTGGCACTCCCTCGCTAGAGAGGTCAGGACAGCACCATCTTTGTTTTCTTTTTGACAGCAGATAAAAACATTTTTATGACGACAGGCTTTTGCATATTGACATGGGTGCTGTTCCGTTTTTGTTTTAAAGAGTTTTACATTTTATAATGTAATGTTTTAATCATTTGAATTGTTTAATTGTTTTTTAAACTTTGTATTTTTAATGTTTCATACTGTTTTAACTTAGACTGTTTTAAATTTTGTTAGCCGCCTTGAATCCCTGTATTGGGAGGAGGGTGGGATAGAAATAAATAGAATAATAATAATAATGTGGAAAGCAGTATGGGCACACAAGAGTCTGTTCTATTTATGCATCACCTTTATAGTAGAGTGTTTTTCATTGTTCATCTCAGTCTTCCTATGAGGAGCAATCTCCTCATAGTCCTGAGCATTTGCTCAGAAATATCCAGCAAGTTCATGACTGAATGGGATAGAATTATAACCCAGCCAAAACTCAACAGTCTATAATTAGGGTTGGTACTGGCGGGTCTAAAACGAACACTACTGAAGAAAAAAAAGGAATTGGGGAACTAAAACATTCTATTAATTGTGTCATAAATATACATTTAAGAATTATGTGTCTGTTACATTTTGTAATACTGAGGGCTTTCTCAGCTATTGTTCTTGGCTCTGGAAATTCCTTGCTAAGAAGATCAGGTTAGCTCCCTTCCTGTCATCCTGTCACCTTTTTATTCAGGCAAGTCTTGGCAACAGACCTTGCTTGCAGTGGAAAAGCCTTTAAACTGGATGAGTACAATTTCTGTATTGTTCTTCCACTACTGGTATGTTTTTGAATTTTGTTTTAATAATTTAATATTTTAATGTGTTTTATTAATATGTATTATTTTATTATAATCTACTCTAAGGGGGGAAGCAGACGACTGCTTCTGGGTCGCCGTGGGTCGGAGCGCCGGCGGAGCTCAGCCT